GATATGCATTAATGATAAATGCGAAGGTGCAGTGTTTATTCATAGTGAGGTGAGGGCTTGGAGCATATTTTTCCTAGTTCTCCATTTCCCATGGCAATCATAGCTGTCAGTCTCTTTGCTCTTTCCTTCTCACTTCCATGAGATTTTTATTGTCATTATCTGAGCTGTAGGGATTAAATGTGCCTAGAGGTACGCTAAAACTCCGATTAGTTTTTACCTCTTTATTAACTGCTGAAATCCATGGAGTTGTGTTAGCTGCATAGTGCTGTAACTGAGGCTGAGAGTCTGAGCCAGGGTCTGAAAAAGAGATGATTCTGGGAGGGGCTGATGGTAATAATTGTTCCACTAACTTGTTTCACAGATCACACTATAGGCAATGGGAGCGTGCTACAACATCAGATCAGAAGTCGAGCAGTTGAGATAGCTAGATCACATTGATTCCTGATGCTACAAAACATCTGGGATTCCATTTGTCACTCCCATAGGAAAGAAACGACCTAGCCCTTTTAATTTACAAAGGCATTGAGTAGCTGTGTTCTGAATAGAAAGGATACGGAATGATCTTTTTGCGTACTAGATATATTTTACATTACGCATTTATCAGTAATACACAAATGAATTAGTATCTCCTAATAACTGGTTTCTTGTTTCAGCTTAGGGGAAAATACATCATGATGAAAAAGAGACTAGTCCATTTTTCTCCTGCTTTTGGGTGTTGAAGACAGGACAAGGAGTAAATGGACAACGGAGACCAATCTCCCATTCCTGGAGGCAGGTCTCTAAGGCTCTCTCTGTGAAGAGAAGACCCCTTCAAGGGAAAAAGAGTGGTCTTCAGAGAAGATTTCCAGATCTCTCTAGACAGCTGATCTGATTGGTGGAATCCCCTGTGATGTTAATAAAACATATTCACATATGATGTAAAGCAGAAAAGTAGCACAGTGAATGCTTTTGTTAGAACAGTTGCTAAAGGTGTATTACAGCTTCAAGGAACGCAGGAGGAAATACGTTTGCATGTGATGGGGAGGGGAGCAAGGTGCTGTGTGAATGCCAGAATAAAGCCTAGCTTAAGCAATACAGGGATGCCACAGCTCAGAGTTGAGGTGAGCGTTCTGTTCCCTCTATAAATTGCAAAGAATCTGTTCCACACAGCATCTTTCTGAAGCAGAGGCAGCAGTGGCTGCATGGCTGGCGTGACATGCAGCTAGTTCGATTTTTATCATAGAGCTTTTACTTTGATGCCACCCTTTTACCTCTCCCAGCCTGTTTTATGCAGTTAAGTTTATGATGATTTTTTCCTTTTCATTTCATAAATCTATTAAATAGTTATTGAAAGGTTGTAGTTACATTGACTGCAGTAGCTTTGAGTGAAAACTGCATTTCAGCTGGTCGTCTTGAAGACATTTGAACATCTGCTCTTCTCCTTATATATACTATACTCATTTTGCAATAGATGCTGTCATGGATTAGGAAGTATTCCATGCACACCCAGCATTGTCTGAGGCTGTGTCTTTTAGATTGAAATGGGTGGAGTTGGTTTTCAGGGAAAAATTCTGGAAATCATATCCAGCTTGAGAGCTTAATGCTCTTGTGCATCTCACTGCAAGGCAAGCTTTCCTCCTACAGACCATTTTCTTGAGAATGTGGGAGGGATTGTTAAGATGTTTGGGTTAATAGGGTAAATTGCAGGTTTTGTGTTCCATGAGACTTCTTACACAATCAAAATAGAGATTATAAGGAGAGGCTGAAACTGGTAGGTAGATTCTGGTTTTAGGAGGAGAATGTTAGTGTGAAAAGGATATTTTTCCAGGTGGCAAAAAAAAAAATGTGGTATTGGGTTGGAGGTCAAGGAACCAGTAGTTAGGATTACTAGTTTCTGCTGCTGGCTCATAGCTTGATCTAAAGTGAGTTTCATAATCTTTACCTCCAGACTTGAGGTTGTTACCTGCCTGCCTCAAGATGAGATGCGAGCCTTTGCGTATACATTTATAAAACTTATGAGATTTAGAGGAAATGAGACATAGTATTAGGAGGGAGATGGATATGCATACCCAAGGCATTTTCATGTGACTGCTGGTTTAATGTGCTAATTGAGGTATCTGGGTGGCTCTTCTTGATATGCTGTAGCTCCTTTCAAAAACAGAAGAAAGATGGAGGAAAGAAAAGGCTATACCTTTTTTTCTTCCTTTCTTAAAAATCAGCAAAGGTTGAAGAAGAAAGTGCTGAAATGGCAATCAGGGAGAGGTGATGGCACAGTCTCTGCAGATTTAAGGGGGTGGAGGTGGGGCCATGTAGAAAAGAGATTTGAGAAAAATGGGAGCAGATCCCTGTTAGCAAAAAAATCAAGGGTTAGTAGCAAGCAAAAATGGGGAGAAGGCTGCTGGGGAGAAAATACTTGTTTGTTTGCACCAGTGTTAGAACCGGTACTGAGGGGAAAAAAGAGAACCCACAAAAAAAACGCAAACCAAAAAACCCAAACAGGCTGAAAATCTGTAATGGCTTCTGATTTTTTGTTTTGTTTTGTTTTAATTATGACAAAGTGTCTAGTATATTTTTTTTTATGTACTCAATTTTCTATAGCGTTTTTTTAAAATGAGGTAGGCTAGCCTGTTAGGTAGAGCTGCTTTTCAAAAGAGGGGCTGTAGGTGGGGCTGTTTGGTCTCCCCAGTCATTCATGCAAATAGCAGAAATAAAGGTAAATGGACAAGAAGCCTTCTGAACTGCTGTAGCAGTGCCATTTCTGAAAAATATAGCTTGTCCCAATTCTTAGCTGACTATGTTGTCCCAGGAAGTTTTCTGTAAACTACCATGTAGAGAAATCCATTGTTCAGAGAGGCAAAAGTGGGGCAGGATCTGAGAGTTGTCAGCCATTGCAAGCCCAAGCCTCATCTTGCCCTTTTCACTTTCAGCTGCTTTGAAGAAAAAAGGCGTTCTTTGAGGTATCAAAAGATATTCTTTACAACCTCCCATACCCATTTTCCCGCAGGGAGCAAATACTCCTTTTCCTGCTTTACCTTGAGCATCTTGACTGCTGTCAAAGGCTGGTCTGCATCTGTGATTGCCTTTCCCCTAGCTTCTGCTTCCTTTCAGTCTGATAGTGTGAAGAACTTTAGTCCTTGGCTTTATTGTTGCCTCTCATTTACCAAAGCAATGGAAAAAAAGTCACAGTCTTTGCTTGTTGTCATTATAGTTCTCAGTACCAGGAATAAAAATTGCCACTTAAATTTTTATCATCTTGTCAAGAAAAAGCTGTACTAGTAGAAAAAAACTGGGTTTTTAATTACAAAAAAAATGAGCTTGTTCTTATGATTGTAGCAAAACAATCGTTTTGTCCCAAAACCTGGTACAGAAACTAAAAATATTTGTAATATGAAATTAAAGCAGTTCTATACCTGTGGTGTTTCTGCACGTACATTTTCTGCTGACAGCAAGTCTTGTCATTAGGACTACCAGGCAAAACTCCTGTTTCTGTCCCTGTTTCTATTCAATTCTGTTTGAAACTCATGTAAGCTATATTGGTGAAAACAATGATTTCTACCTCTTTATTTTAATATGAAAGTTTAGAATGTGTCACAGAAAACAGCACTCTCTTTCTCCAGAATTCTTTTTCCCTAC